ATCCCTGCCACAGTCTCCCCCCACCCCGCTGGCTCACGGGGACGATGTGGGCTCCCTGCTTTCAGGCTTGTCGCTTTTGGAGGACTTTGGCTTCAGCAAGATGAACCTGTTGAGGAAAAAAAAACGGTGTCGGATCTGGCCTTGGCGCCCGCGTACGCCTCCCCTGGGGATGAAGCAGAGGGTGGGCTCGTGTCCAGGGGGCAGGGGTGGGGGAAGCATCCTGAGGGCCAGAGGAGCAGCAGCTCCTTGGTGGGGGACAGGGACACTCACCTGCATAGCTGGAGGACTCGGACATGTTCTGGGAGCCGGTGATGTGGTGCCAGTAGGCGCTGCGGGGCAGCATGGTGGTGGGGGTGCAGGGGTAGGAGAAGTGCTCGGTGCCCTTGTTCAGCAGCTGCGGTGGATGACAGGGGGGTGAGGGTGACACAGGGTGCCCTGACACACCCCCCCCAGCTGTGTCCCCAGGGTGGGCTGGAGCTCACCCTGACGTTCTTCTCCATCTCCAGCAGGACCCTCTTGTGCTGCTCGGCGATGGCCAACGTGGCACTGTGCACGCGCTGGTAGATCTGCTCGCCTTCCTGCGTCTGGAAGGTGTAGAGACCTTCCCCCGCATCGCACATCCTGCGGGCATGGGGTACGGGATGTCACTGGGGTCCCCAAGCCGACAGATGATAAAAAATATTCCCCCTCCCGGCAGGTGGCATCTAGCCCAGCTTCCCATGCTTTTAGTGCTGTCTCTAGGTCCCCTCCATGGTGCTGAGCTGGGACCAGAACCAGCTCCAAACTTCCCCGGCCATGGGGCTCCCTGTGCAGGCTGTGGCCATCACCCCAGCGTTGGGCCTGCCCTGGTGGCAGCAGTGCCACCACCTCCTGGCACACCCAGCAGGACGAAGGCACCCACGGGTGCTCCCCATCCCAGCAAGGGTGACATCTCACCGTCCGGCCTCGAAAGTGAAGCGGGTGGCATCGCGCCCGTAGCGGCGCAGGGAGCAGAGGGGCCAGGAGACCAGTTTGACGCGGGGGTTGTGGGTGTCCCAGAGGTAGATGTTTTCGTGGGTGATTTGCAGTTTGCACTCGCCGTAAATGTCCAGGTTGGGGCAGGGGAGGAGGAACACATTGAATCGGTCTGGAGAAGGGGGGAAATATAAAATAAAATAATTGGGGGTGAGGGGAGGGTGTAGCAAGGCTGAGCCCTGAGCGAGCGCCCCGCTGCCGTGAGCTCACCCGTCTGCTCACACTGCACGCCGGGTGCCAGCAGGTCCGGCTCCCCCAGGCTGATGTCATTCAGGCGGGCGCCCAGGCACTCAACTGACAGCGTCTTGTACCACTCCTCCGCTTCCAGCTCTGCAAGGCACCACGGCAGCCCCTGGGTCACCCTGGCCAAA